TTTTTTAATGGAATATTTGTTTAAAAAATAAAATTCAAATTCAAACTTTATCAAACACATTTTAAATATTATTATTTAAAAAGAAAGTGCAAAATAAAAAAAAAAAAATTGTTGTGCTAGAAACACAATTTGTCCAATTCTTAACTGCGTTAAGAGCCAGTTATTTGAGTACTTGCTTCTAGGCTTCAGATGAGCTGGTGCTCCACGGCTCGGAGGAGGAAGGGGTTGCTGGAGACTAAGTCGGGCGGCTGATGTGGTCGGGGTGGGTTGTTTTTAGGCTTCAAATGAGCTGGTGCTCCACGGCTAGGAGGAGGAAGGGTTGCCGGAGACCAAGTCGGGCGGTTGACGTGGTCGGGGTGGGTGGAGAGGTACTTCAACTTAGCACTGTTAGGTTAGATGGTTAACCTAATCAATAATGTGGTTTAAATTCGCCTTTGACGGAAATCGAGTCTAAGACATCTCACTTAGAAGTGAAGAAGAATATAAATAGACCATAGTACTAAGTAACTAACCGATGGAATAATTAGATGAGCCATAGCATATGGTAAAATTCAATTTGGGTGCACTCTTGTTGCCTCATACCCAAAAGACTGTTTTTTGTTTTTCCTTTCCTTCTACCAACTGTGAAAGATAGGAATTACAAGCTCCACAAGTACTATGAATTATGTTTGACACCAGAGGCAGCACGGGCGAACCCTCCCAGGAATTTTAGAGAGGGTGGGCGAGTGGCACTGGCTTTGCACCCACTTTGAGACCAAAAAGTTCCAAGTAACATTTGTATTTTTAATTTTATATTGATTTTGTTTTTGTTGTATATTTATTTTTATCTTCATTTAAACTAGTATATTTAAAAAAATCAGCGACCAATAAATGAAACAGGGAGTAAAAGCCATACGAGCACCACTCAGGTTCTCGACCCCTATCTTACCAGGTCTAGGAACAACAGGAGGTTAGGGAGAACTTCCCAGACAGAATAGTCATCTCCAATTATAAATCTTGGTATTTAATATTTTTAATCTCCAATTATATTTTTAATTAATTAATGCATTTATAAATTTTAATTTTTTTAATATCATATAAATTTACCGAACAGAACAGTCATCTCGTAGATTGTGACATCCCACATCGCTCAGGGGAAGTGATCCTTATATGTATATTCTCATCCCTACTTAGCACGAGGCCTTTTGGGAGCTCACTGGCTTCGGGTTCTGTAGGAACTCCGAAGTTAAGCAAGAAGGGGGCTAGAGCAATCCCATGATGGGTGACTCACTGAGAAGTTGCTCGTGAGTTCCCAAAAACAAAACCGTGAGGGAATGGTAAGCCTAAAGCGGACAATATCGTGCTACGGTGGTGGAGCGGGCCGGGAAGTGATCCGCCCCGGGCCGGGATGTGACATAGATCACTTATTCCTGATGGACGATCTCATCGGATTATCCCACAGTTTTAATCTAATATAAAATGACAATCAAACAGAGTCCGTTGGTTGAGATCATCTCTATCACGTAAGTTTATTTCTATGTGACGAACCTGCTCGTCGAGTTAAATAGTAGTTAACCGACGGAATCTCATGTCCGTTGCATAAAACTCTGTGCGACGAGCTTGGCCTACGAACTTTGACCGACGACCTTCGGTTAGGTGATGGCAATGCAAACAAAGGGTGGACTATAAAAAATGAAGGGTAAAGTACAAAAAACTACCTCAACTATTGGTGTCACAACACTTTCATACTTCATCTTTTAAAATTGACAATGTCATACCTCATCTTATGAATTTATGCCAATGTTATACCTTCCGTTAACTTGGCATGAATTTCTCAGTTAAATGCTGACGTGGCTTGATTCAAGGCCCATTTTTTATTAAAAAAATTAATAAAATATTATTAAAAACTAAAAAAAAATCATTTGATATTTTTTAAATATTAAAATAATAAAGAACATTAAAAAAACAAAAAAAATTCCCAGAAAAAAAAAAAAAATTTCCAGTTCGTCTTCCCCTCGCATCCACCCTCCGCACCCATCCAACCTCGCACCCACCCCTCGTGGAATCGGCCTGGCGAACGGGATCTGGGTTTTTTTTTTTTTTCCTTCTTCTTCTTTCTCCTCCTTCTTTTTCTTTCTGGGTTGTAGGGGGTTGGATTTGTTTTGGGAGGGGGATGAACTGGCTTTGTTTTTGGGGGGGGGGGGAGGGGCTACCGAACTGTGTTGGGTTTTTTTTTTCTTCTTCTTCTTCTGCTCCTCCTCCTTCATTCTTGTTTTTCTTCTTCTTCTTCTCCTCCTCCTTCATTCTTCTTCTTCTTCTTCTTCTTCTTCTTCTTCTTGGGGGGCGCGGGGGGGGAGGGGCTACCGAACTGTGTTGGGTTTTTTTTTTTTTCCTTCTTCTCTTCTTCTTCTTCTTCTTCTTCTTCTTGATGGGTTTTCAAATTATTATTATTATTATTATTATTATTATTATTATTTGGTTGAAGATTAAGCAGGGAAGAAGATGAAGATTTCTTCTTCTTCTTCTTCTTCTTCTTCTTCTTCTTGTTGATGGGTTTTCAAATTATTATTATTATTATTTGGTTGAAGATTAAGCAGGGAAGAAGATGAAGATGGGGAGAAAGGGGGGTTGGGGGTTGATGGGTTTTCAAATTATTATTATTATTATTATTATTATTATTTGGTTGAAGATTATTATTATTTGGTTGAAGATTAAGCAGGGAAGAAGATGAAGACTTCTTCTTCTTCTTGGGTTTTCAAATTATTATTATTATTATTATTATTATTATTATTATTATTATTATTATTATTTGGTTGAAGATTAAGCAGGGAAGAAGATGAAGATGGGGAGAAAGAGAAGGGGGGAGAGGGGCCGAAGGGACAAAAGGTTATGATTTTTATTTTTGTTTTTAACTTTTCTTTATTATTTTAATATTTAAAAAATATTAAATGATTTTTTTTTTAGCTTTTTTAATATTTTATTACTTTTTTTAATATAAAGTGGGGAGATCAAGTCATGTCAGCATTTAACTGATAAATTAACGGCAGGCTAATGGAAGGTATAACATTGACACAAATTCGTAAGATGATGTATGACATTGTTAATTTTAAAAGATGAGGTATGAAAGTGTCGTGACACCAATAGTTGAGATAGTTTTTTGTACTTTATCAAAAAATGAATGGAAAAACAAGGGTTGACAACTTTGCTAAGCGCTACTGAGGATGGGGGCCTAGTGCAAAGCCAAGAAAACTCCCACCTCATCCAAGGTTCGAATCCCCCCACCCCCAAGTTTAACTAATGACAAAAAAAAAAAAAAAAAAAAAATTAGCACTACTCTGTTGAACAGTGGACTATACAGACAAAGCGTTTTCGTCTTGTAATATATTTTTTTGTTCTATAGTGTATGGTGATGAAATTTAAAAACTTTAAGATGGAAATTAACAGGAAGAAGGATCAATGTATGGCTGTCATACAGGTTGTTGAAGAAATAAGTGAGGGATGACTCACTTCGACCCTACCCCTATTATTTGTCTACCATATTCTTATCTCAAAAGCATAAATAATTACATTTACATAATTTTCAGATTAAAGTTTAAGATGAAGAATTCCACTTTACTCAGAATCCGACAATTGTTTCTTCCATGACACCCAACTTTAAACGTTTTTGTGTAATTTGTCTATCGAACTTTTGACTTCGAGATAAGATTCCGGCTTAAAAAGATAATAATTGTTCAACAAGTGAGTGTGAGATGACTCACATCTGCCCTACCATTATTATTTGTCTAGCCACCCCATATTGGAAGAGGATTCTCTACCCTTCTATTTTCATCTCCTTTCATCCCTACTTCTCACAAATTATTTTTTGTTTTATTATCTCTATAAAAAAATTAATATAAGATGTTAACGTAGCTTAACAATGACAGCTCAAATAGAAGAGCAAGAAAGGGTAAAGAAATTAAGAGGGTAAAGAATCATCTGCCCTACTATTATTATTATTATTATTATTATTATTTTTAACTTATTTGGCTCAAAAAGATGTTGTTTAACATGAAAAAAATCTTCTTTGCTAAATACCTAGTCATTGCACATCCATGGAGGCATAAACTACCTCTCCACCGTCACAATCGATGAAAATGGCAATTATACGATTAGTGCAATTTAACAAAAACACTTGGGAACAGAAATTCACAAAAAATTTATCCCATGTTTCAGTATAAATTTCTTGTTTATTTGATTGTTTTAAGTTCCCAGAAAATCGCGGCAAATTGCTCTTCTCCCCATGACAAATGATGCTCGAAAGTTAGACAAATATGAAATTGTGTAATTTAAAAGTTAAATCAACTGTGACCTCCGTACATAGCTACTCTGTTTTTACTTTCAATTCTCAAGTGCTTTCCCCTCTTCTCTTCCCCAACTTCTGTTTACCCACGTGAAACTTATGGGACATAAGTGGTATAACAGGAAAGAGGACCAATGTATGGCTGTAATACAAGTCAAGTTGAACAAATGTCCTCTACCCTACCACTTTATTATTTGTCGGTTGTCACATCCATCTGAACAACATCTCTAACTCAAGTAGTGGTGGGAAGAACAAATGTGATACCACAACCTTCGATCCTGCACTTTCTCAGTTTCGATCTCTTGGTTCTCTGTTTCCACTGCTAACCGAAAGATGGCCGAGGCACTCATTTCCGTGCTTCTCGAACAACTGGCTTCGATAACTTACCAGCACGTCGAGGAAGAGGTGAGCCTAGTTTTGAATGCGGAGGAAGATGTTGCAAAATTCGTTGGCAACCTTGAAGTGATTCGTGCTGTGCTTGAGGATGCGGAGCAGAGGCAGGTGAAGGAGGCTAGCGTGAGAAATTGGCTGGAGAAGCTGACAGACGTGTCGTACAAGATGGACAATGTGTTGGATGAGTGGAACACTGAAATACTGAAACAACAAGTTGAGAAACAAGAAGAGCACGGTGGAAGTACTTCTCTTGTTACTAAGAAGAAGATGAAGACGGTATGTTTCTCAATTCCCTCCTCTTGCTTTTGTTTTCGTCAAGTCGGACGGGTAATTCGTGGTCGAGAGATTGCTCTTAAGATCAAACGTCTGAATGAAAATTTAGATGAGATTGCTGAGCAAAGACAGAGATATAACTTTCAATCCATGGAGAGAACGACCATTGAACAACCCAAGCGAGAGAAAACTTCTTCTTTTGTTGATGCATCTGTGATATTTGGTAGAGAACAGGGAAAAGGAAGTTTTGGTCAGCAAGTTGTTGAATGAGAGTAGTCAAGAAGAGAGGGGCCTCCTTGTCATCCCTATTGTCGGGATGGGAGGAATGGGGAAGACAACTCTGGCCCAACAGGCTTTTAACGATGAAAATGTTAAAGCCTGTTTTGATATCAAAATTTGGGTTTGTGTTTCGGACCCTTTTGATGATATCAAAACTGCCAAAGCCATCATTGAGGCTGTCGAAAAACATACCAGCCCAAATTCAAATGAATTGGAAACTGTCTTGCAATGTATGTCTAAATCTATTGAGGGAAAGAAGTTTCTCCTTGTCCTGGACGATGTGTGGACTGAAGACCAGAGGAAATGGGAGAAATTGAAGTTGCCATTAAACCAAAGTGGCGCCCGTGGCAGTAGAATATTGGTGACCACTCGAAAACAGGATGTTGTTCATATGATAGGAGCTCTCACACAACAGATCGATTTGGAGAGGTTAAGCGAACCAGATTGTTTGTCAATATTCAACTGCATGGCATTTTTTAGTAGAGATCAGGATAGTGAGTTGGAAGCCATTGGTAAAGAAATTGCAAAAAAGTGCAAGGGTTTGCCTCTTGCTGCAAAGACTCTGGGCAGTCTTATGCGTTACAAGAAAACGAGGAAAGAATGGCAGGAAGTTTTGGACAGTAATATATGGGAGCTAGAAAAGTTTGAGCAACAAGTTTTCCAACCACTATTACTGAGTTATTTTGATTTGGCACCTGCAGTCAAACGATGCCTTTTATATTGTGTTATCTTTCCAAAAGATCATTTGATCTATAAAGATTATTTGATTGAGTTGTGGATGTCACAAAATTATCTCTATTCGAAGGAAAAAAAAGAGAAGAAAATAATTGGCCAAAGGAGTTTTGATAATTTAGTAATGCGATCTTTCTTCCAAGACTTTGAAAAAGGCAGTGATGGAGATATCTGGGGGTGTAAAATGCATGATATTGTGCACGACTTTCTGCAGTATCTTACTCAAAATGAATGCTTTACAATGGAGGTTAAGGGTGGTAACGATACAATAGAGGCCTTGGGTGACAAGATCCGCCATTTTACCTTAATGCTTGCACCCGAGGGTCCACTCTCATGTGTTTCGTTTTCCAGCTGCGATCTACGTACTCTTGCAACTTTTGATTCAAAATTTAATGTTGTGGACTCAACTCTGATCTCGCAATTGAAACATCTTAGGACATTAAATTTGAGTGGTAATTGTATTAAAGTGCTTCCGGAAGAGATAGATGAATTGGTGCATCTGAGGTTCATTGATTTGTCTGAAAATGATGGTTTGAAAAAGCTACCGAATGGGGTGTGTAATTTATGCAATTTGCAGACATTGCGCCTTGAAAGATGTGGGAAACTTGAAAGTCTACCTCAAGGCATGGGAAAGTTGATTAACTTAAAGCATCTTTATGTTTGGGGTTGCCGTCAACTGAAGTACTTGCCAAAAGGGATCGGGAGATTAACAAATCTAAGAAGACTAGATCGGTGCCCTGTTAGCGGTGGTAAAGACGACGATGAAGCGTTCAAATTGGGAGATTTGAGAAACTTAGACCAACTTCAGGGGGCACTCGAAATAGAGATTGATGGGGATGTGGAAGTTGTTGTGGGTGAGGGTGAGAAAGCATCACCCCTGGGGAACAAACAACAACTCTCAGAATTGGAAATAATTTTTGAAGATCGAGAAGAGGACAAGGGAAGAAGAAGCAGCAGTAGTGCAGAAACACTGAATTTTTTACGACCGCATCCAAATTTGGAATTGTTAAGAATTGAAAGGCATAATGGAAGCACTGCCCCCAACTGGATCATGTCATTAAACAATTTGAGATATCTCTCTCTCTATGAATGGAATGAATGTGAAGTTTTACCTCCTTTGGGAAAATTGCCGTCCCTCGAAACACTCTGGCTTTGGGGCATGAAAGGAAAAAAGGTTGGAGTTGAGTTTCTGGGAATAGAAAAGGAAACGTCATCAGCATCATCATGCATTATATTCCCAAAATTGAAAACACTCACATTTTCCCTAATGGAGGCGTGGGAAGAGTGGAAAGGAGTGGAAGAGTGGAAGGAAGAGGATTCTCATATTACCATAATGCCATGCCTTTCTTCTTTACAGATTTCTCGGTGCCCTCAGCTAAAAACACTGCCAGACTTCTTGCGGAAAACACCACTTCAGACACTTAAAATCAGTTACTCTGAGAGTCTTGCACGAGGTTGCCGAAAAGGCAGAGGAAATGAGTGGTCCAAGATTTCTCACATCCCCAATATCACAATCAAGCCTGAATATTCTGATGATGAGGGCGAAGGCATAGTGGAAGCAGAGGATGATGTTGAGTTGCAGGAGAGGCCTTCCACTTCGGGTAAGTAAGCTCTTTTCTATTTATTTACCAACTCACCCTATTCATTTTACATCAATGCGCTAATTTCAGGGTTGAGCTTTTACTATACTTGCCAAATGACAAGATCTCATGTTCCAACTAGATAAGTTATTATGTATACGGTTGCAAGGGACTTGTAACTCGGTTTAAGACCATATTCCAGGTGCCCGAGTTCAATTTTCCCGATTTGCAATACTCTAGTTTTATTTTATTTTTAAAATCTCCAGAAAGTAACAATTTATAATGTTGCAAGGGTAAAAAGACCATATTCCAGGTCCCCAGGTCGATTCCTCCTCTCCCAATATCGTGATTTGCAATGCTCTAGTTTTATTTTATTTTTAAAATCTCTGGATTTGAGACTATAAGCAACTTTAAACCGGAAATTATATGCAAGAAAGTAACAGTTTATGGTCACAAAATTTTGCAGACCTCCAGTTGTGTGATTTAGCTACTAGCAGTTAGAGGGTGTACAACAATGTGCCTGACTGTTGCCAGTGCTGCTAATGAACGCAGGAGAGGAAGTGAGATGGAAAGGGAGACAAAGCTGCATGCATTACTAGAACCGGTGGTTGGCTACTGCATTACAGATTTCATCAGAATCGTCTTTTCCTTTACTTTCCGGCAGAATGAAGATCGTCTGGACATAGGCACATCAAAAGCGTGTGTGTGTAGTATATTGCAATTGTTTGAGGTCTTCAATATATTTCTCAAAAAAAAGTTGTCGAACGACTAGAATATTATTCACTGGACCTGCAGAGTACAGTGCAAATTTTATGTAAATACTATACAAATTAGTAAAGTTTGGCAGATTAAACGCAAACAACTGAGATATTTGGATATAAACTGTATTATGAAATAGTGCTAATCAAATACAAACTAAATTTGCTTCAATATCATCAAATATGCATAAACCCAGGGAAGGAAATAATTCAAATAGAATTGAGAGAACCTTTTGCATTTTTGAACACGCGAAGAATATTATGAGTTCTAGCATCCCAAACTCGAACCACGCCATCTTCTAATCTAGAAATCAAATAATTTCCAGAAATGCCATATGCTAAGTAAGTAAAAACTTTGCTGTTCAAAAGTCAAACGTACAAAGTTCAAGTTAAATGAGTTTTGCTCATTCAAAATATACTAAAATGAATATTCCTCGATTCAGTTCGCTAGAATGCAAGGCCTGTCATAACTAAAGGTAGAATGCAGGGTTCTTAAAACGTGCAACAATCTTTGGCAATTATACTTTGAAAAACGAAAAATACACAGTTAAAAATTAGAGAAGTGTTAACTGAAGAAAACTCAAAGGTTGCCTATAGGAAAAGATTATTACTATACCAAACACAGTTTATAATTTACTAAAGGCCATGCCATACCTTACACGTGCGATCCTGAAATGCTGACACAATAATGGCTTTGCATCCACCATATCCTGCGCCAACATCCGTTACACAAAGAGTGTGCTCCATAAAGATGGCTTTCTAATTCACTTTGATAATCTGTGAGATTCAACAGATAGAGATATAACCGTTTTCAGTGCATAATTAAAAACAATATAAGATTCAAAAATATACGATAAGAAATGGTTACCCTATAAGAGACCAAACTCTAATGCCTCCATCCTCCAACCCTGAAATCGGCAGGGAGCCATCATCCAAAAATACCAAGCAACTAACACCTCTGTCGTGAGCATGCCATTTCTTAAGCAGTCTACCAGTATTAACCTTAATAAATACAAAAAAAATATGTTCATTAGCATTTCAGAGCTCAAAAAAAGATAAATTCAAAGAGGTGAAAAAAATTGAATAGGAAAGTTAACCTTCCACAAGTAGATATTCCCCGACGTGCCTTCGCTGTTCGCAGCGAGCGAATTGATCAGTTCTTCTGGGAACTCTTGACATCAACTTGCGGCTGCACATCAAAAATCCCAAAATTCAATAAAAATGCAAGCTTTATCGGTTGAGGCAGTTCATCAAACAGGTTGTGTGCATAAGAAAGGAGGTGATCTTACCTTGGACCACGGCCGTGAGGCGGAGGGGCGCAGAGATTGTAGCAGAGCTGCTCGGCACCGGTGCGGAGGTCCCAGCAGCCAATGCCGGCCTCGACGGATGACGAGGGTTTTTATTGAGCGTTTTGAAATCTCGGACAGAGTAATGGATACGTAAAACGTTAATGGTGCTGCTCTGAGTGCTCTCTGAGATTTTTGCCAGGGTTTATGAAAGGCGCGTGGCTAGACACAAAAGGCGGGAAGGTTCTCAAAACCGGGCCGCTGGCAATTGTTTGAAAGTTTCTAATTGTTGTCCCAATTCTGGATCAATTTTTTGTGTATCTTTTCATTGTTCAAGTTTTCTTATATGATAAAACAACACAAAACAAAGTTTTTAGTTGTTGTCCACTGTTGATTGATTTGGACATCTTTCACTGCCATCTCTTGAGGTTTTTCATTTTTAATTCAACCGAGTCGATTTGAATTTCAAAATTTTAATTGGCATTTTCTGAACGGAACAAAATTAAAGGTCGTTGTAGTGCTAGATGTCATATTTATTCTCATTCCCATTAAAAGATGACACAAACTTATCATCTCTACCTTATTTGATAAAGTTAGCAATTATGTTATTTTTAATTTTTTATTAATGTTTAATCCACGAGGCGTTCATGCAATTTTAATTAAGCAAAAACAGAACCTCAAGTGAGCCACGCCATGATTTAATAATACTAAAATAAACATCATAATTTGCTAAGATTGACATGATGGCTAAGAAGATTGAAGGCTTGGGCATAGTCAAATTGGGTAAATAAATGTGTTCTTCATGTACATTCAAGTTTAAACTTCTATTTTCGTTGTTCGAATTAATTTAATGTGAAATATCGCTGATATAAATTAGAAATTTAAAACATGAGGATGCAAAGCGTTATATGAAACACACTTCAAGGTGGTAAAATGTAATTACCTCATAATGTATTGCATTTTTAGGCAATGGGAGATAAGTTTCACACACCTTTTTTTATCAAATTGAATAAATTAAACGAAAACAATGATCATAATTAAATGAGATGTTAAAAATTTGTGTGTTTATCAGGGCAATTCGTAGAGGCATTGTGCTCAAATACTGAGATTCGAGTCCTTTAGAATCACGGTTTATGTTTGTCCCTTGTGACTGATGCGTATCAGGCTTCTTTTAGGCCCAAACGGATTTCTCTTTTCGGTTGAACAAAATGGACTTCCTGTTTCAGCAAGGCATCACCCATTCGCAATTGATGGTCTTCGGACCAGAAGAGAAAAATATTGGTTAAAAAAGTTCATGCATTACTTGCCTATATAAGAGCAACTCCACCCCTAAAGACTTTGCGCCAGCACCCAGCGCATTTATCCACTCAGTAAACAGTGATAGACTCCAATGAACAGTAATAAGCCAAGAGCATTTCCACCCCTAAAAAAAAATAGCCTAGTCAATTTTATTAAAATATTATTATTATTTATTATAAAATAATAAAATAATAATTGTATTATAAAAAAAAAAAAAGGTAAGTCATCTTTCTACTAACCCTCTGCACTCTTCCTATAATCCCCAACCGGTTATCTCTCTCTCTCTATATTTTCTCTCCCTCTCTCTCTTTTCCAGCTCACTCCCGTGAGCTCTCCTTCTCATTCCTCTTCAAAACCTTCAACAAATCAAACACAAAATATTATTTTTGTAATCCATGGAGCTCAAGGAACCCAACCATGGCCTTGCATGCGGCATCGGTGCATGGTGGGAGATCCTACCATTGAAGCCGAGAGCTTGAGCTCTCAATCTCTAACCCAAGTGATGTTTCTATCACTGTATTGTGTTCTTAAGCTTTAAATCCTGTTGTGTTGCAATTTTTGTGGTTAATTTGAGGGCTTAATTCCCTGCATGTGATTCCGGCAAAGGAAAACGGACAACTCCGACGAGTTCAAGATCCAATCTCGGTGAAATCTCTTGCATTCACCTGGGTAAGTTCTCAATCCTATTCTTATGGTTTCTAACATATAAATCGTGTTGGAAACCCTTGTGTTGATGCAAATTTGCTGTCAGTGCATTTTTTTTCAGATTTTCCGTCGAACTCGAGCCATCATTTTCAGGCCATTTACCTTCTCCCTCCGTCGCTCCATCCATCCCTGACATCACCACAGCGTCATACAGGCCAGTCCCAAGGTCTGTCAATTTTGGGCTGGCCTGGAGACCAGCTTGGGCTGGGTGCCAGGCAATCTCGTGGGCTGGAGAGACTTCCCTAGGTGCCGGGTCATTTTTTTGGCTGTGTGCCGACCTATCCCACCACCGGTGGAAGTGCTCTAAGGCTGTTGAATTTCTTTTCTCTAGCCATAATTATTTAGATAATTTTTATATTCGCCCTTAATAAAAATGGTTTATCCCGATGGACAAAAATGGAAAATGATTGATTCTCCATTTCGCTCCGCCGTCAACTGACCTCTTCACCGACCTCTCTTTTCGCCTTGGTACACTTGGGGGAGGCCGGCAGACCTTAAAATTCAAATGGCTGGATTTGCCAAGACTCTCCAGTGGTCTAATTTAGCTGCTAGCAGGTACAAAGTTTACAAATAAGGAAGTTTTAACAAAACACTTATGTTATTGTTTACTTTTAACGAAAAATCACATTTTTACCTTTTTCTGGTACTATTCACTACATATTTATTTATTATTTTTCATTAAAATTAAAAAAAAAATTAATTTTCGTTAATTTTCCTTACAAACAATGGTGAGCGTACGATACATCAACAGTCAAAACTCAACTACGCGCCTTGGCACAGGAAACTTGACCGAAGCAAAATCCAAGCTCAAAATGCAAGAGGGTATGGGTATGGATTTTTGTGATTTTATATTGGGCCTGGGCTTTCGGCCCAAAATCCGGAAACAGAGGTGGAGAGTGGAGAACCTCGCGGGCATTTCCTTGTTTATCTGCTAAAAATCTATAGATGCTGACTGTGACTGATGGGTCTTCAAGCCTTCAACTTTTGAAGAAGGATGAGAGAAAGTGCTTACTAAAAAAAGCACCTTTTAGTCATAGCAACTAGTACCTTAAGGGCGGGATAGCCATGGCATCTCTCTCCAGATCACCGCCGCTCCTCCACCGTCACTTAAACTCCCTCACCCTCCAACCCTGCCCCCTAACTCTATCCTTCCCTTTCCTCAAAACGACGTTACCTTACCCCCGCCCCTGCGCCCTGAAGACGGGACCCAACGGGGGTAGCAGAATCGGGAGGCCCGAGACGCAGGGGCCCGACCCGGGACTGCTCCGAAAGCCGGTGGTGTCGTCCGGGAAGGACTTGGACGGGATTTCAGAGGAAGAGGGAAAGTGGGTCGATTGGGAGGATAAGATTTTGGAGGACACAGTTCCGCTGGTAGGGTTTGTGAGGATGATTCTTCATTCGGGGAAGTACGAGAGCGGAGATAGATTGAGTCCTGAGCATCAGAAGACTGTTCTCGAAAGGTTGCTTCCGTTTCATCCTGAAGCTAAGAAGAAGATCGGTTCTGGAATCGATTATATCACGGTAATTTCTGTTTTCTTTATTCGATTATCTCAGATGAAGCTGCTTTTGAATTAAGCTGCTTTGCAATTCTGGGGTTTAGTGTTTGGGGTGCCAATTTTGATTATTGGGTATTGGTCTTTAATCTTGATTGCCCATTTTAGTGTTTTGGTGCTTTTGAATTAGGCTGCTTTCAAATTAAGTTGCTTTACAACTCTGATGATTGATTACTTGATTGCTCATTTTTCGTTTGATCCCAATGACTTTAATTTACTATAGAAGTGCTTATAAGTGAGAGGATTTTGGCAACTGAGCATCTAGAGAAACATGAATGGTATCTGTTTGGATATGCCTGTTTCTGGATAGCTTCTCCTATGTTGCTTGTCATTTCTGTTTTGGCGACGATCAGACTTGATTGCTTTCGGGTTTTTTACTACTTTTTAACTTTAACTTTGATTCAAGTCTGGCTCATTAAGCATCATCCACCTTTTACCCTCCCATCTGAGCTCCTGGAACTTGGGGATGGTGTAGGTGTGAATGTTAGCTTCACCCTTCGTCATATTTTAATATCGCTTCCCCTCCACAAACTCCCACACCACACTCCAATGTGGGAGTGTTTTATCACTTGATTGTGGAAGGTGGTTGGAGCTCAATCTCTCTAGTTCCCCTTAGATATCTAGTTATCTGCATTGTTTCTTATATGGCTTTACCGGTGAATGATAAGTAAGAACTGTTACTTGTTAGTATATGGTGTTTAGAAGGCATATAATGAATTGACCGAAGAAATGCTAATCAACCCCTAGTATCCCAAAAGGATCGTAGGGCATTTAGAAGTATACATGCTTTCAAAATGATGGAACTTGGCTTCAGGTAGTCGTTTTCGAAATTTAAAGCCAATCACAAAAAACTTTTTCTGCATTCAACACTTCATCATGGATGAGCGATTTGGGGTTTTTCTCAAGCATGGTGTATTTGTATTATAAGTAAATCTGATTCTCATGTGATGCGTTTTTCTCGTTTTGAGTTGACAGGTTGGTTATCACCCTGATTTTGAAAGCTCAAGATGTTTGTTCATTGTTCAAAAGGACGGAACACTAGTCGACTTTTCATATTGGAAATGCATAAAGGGGCTGATAAGGAAGAACTATCCTTTGTACGCTGACAGCTTCATTCTCAGACATTTCCGAAAGCGCAGACGCGGTTTACGAAGCTAGATTTGTCGAATCCTCTGACTTTGTATAACTGTATGTCAAGGAAAATTTTTTGTTCGTTCCATATTTCTCGTTATATGTTAATTTTAAATTGTTAGAGAGTAAGATGTTGGAAAATAGCAGTAGTAAATACGGTAAATTCTTTGAAGGTACATGATACGACTTCAGTAAAATGTGAGGCTAAATGCTGTGGTGAATAAAATTGCATTTGGCTTGTTACTGTTCTCCCTACAAAATTATTCATTTGGTGTGCATAAGCTAAGAAGTAATCTTGGTTAAATTGGACCATGAAATCTTCAAGCTAGTGGTTATGCTTATGTTCCGGCGGTTAGTAGTTTGAGAGGAGTGTTAGAACAGTCGCCCAAGCACGTGAGTGGCTTCTAGTCATTGATGCATCGGGGCTAACACTTGCATCAATGGTTCTTCCCTCACAATTAATGAGAAAAGAAACAAGAAGTAAAAAACAGTGCATTAACGAATTTCTCGGCAGAAGAAACCAGATTGGTAGCATCACAATCGACAACCAACAGCTGTCTCGTATCGTTAACGTCTGTTCCAAATCCAGCGACAAGGATATCGAGAGAATTTCAATCCTACCTACACTTTCAGTTTCGTGTCACGGCTGGGGTGATCCTCAACTGATCAGTGCCAAGTGCCAAGCAAACGATAGAGGAACCAGCACGTCCAAAGTCACGTCATGTGATGAGCGTTATAAGAACAATTATTATATTTGTTTCTCTTATAGGTAAATGTGCAAACTTTAGATACTTTCAATTGTATATTTATGTTTATCTCTCTCGTCACTACAACAAAATATACAACCAATTACAAGACAGATTCTCTTATAGATGGTGTAAAATGTAATAGAAATGCTAGTAGCAATATTTCATTCGAATCTTCTCCCTTTACCTTCACGGCTCTGCTTCATATTTTCCAATGTTGCACGATGATCTAATTATTTATTTTCTAGGTCATATTTAAAAATCAACTATGTGAGAATCAACTAAACCTACAATCGTTTAATCACATCTAAAAACATAAAATGAGAAGGTCCGACCGAGAAAGTTAGTAGCACCCTTAGCTGTAAATGTCATCTTCTCTAATCCTTTTGAGTTGGAGCGCATCAATCAATTCTGAATCTTACCATACCAAAATAACCAACTGCTGCTTTGTTCTCCCACAACTAAATCCGATGCTTCACTTGGCCAAGAAATAATTGGATGGGATGAGGTTTTGAACTTTGAACTGTTGCGTTCTCACCAATCACTAACTATGAGCAATGCCGGATTCAATTTTCGAACGTTAGAGGGTTTTAATGTTAAAAGTTTAAGTCTTTTTAGATAGAAACAGAACGCGAAGCACACATAAAAATTCAGCTTATTCGATCAGGCATTTCGTCAAATACTTGGTGGACATGTTGTCGTGCACCGAATCATGTTGCGCACATGTCAACAAATATCGACAATATGCCAAAGCAATCTGACTAGTGTTATAGAGATAATTTGTCGAGCGCACTTGACACCATATGTTGAGTGTTGTTGAAATATATCTAACATGCATTACATCAAACACTTAATGAGCGTAAAAAAACTCATACGAAACAGTCAAAAAGTCTGCAAAAAATTTTCACATGTATATTTTTTTATAATGAAACTACCTTAATTTCAATGTGCATCCGCCTCATCCCATTTAAACTGAAACAACACGTATGCATTGTGCAGTTATGAACTCACATCTACGAAAGCAATGGCAATGCTTTATGCCTTTTTTTTTATGTGTTTTGTATTTCTCCAAAATTGTGGATTTGTTTTAGGGAACGTGGCACCATACCATGAACAAAGATTACTTGCTAATAAAACCCTACCATTTTTTAAGCCAAAGACTCCAACTACTCCTAAAACGTTGCTAAATTACAACTACTTCTACTGCGATAGACGCATAGGCTGATGAGTGACAACAAGTTGAGTTTACAAGTCTTTCATTATTCATTTTAGGGTTTTCTGCTATGCGAATTCATATCGTATGGGAATACGTTTATATATAGTTGTTAGATAAACGAGTTTACACTTCTATATTAACAGAAATGTATATATAACAAAGTAATAAATCAGTTATGTCATCCATAACACTCATTTTGTCACCACCTAACCTAAACTATAGGCACTACTGTCACCGGTTATTAGTTTTGCTCTTGTAATAGGTGTATATTATTATCATAAGTGATTTCCGCACTTATTTTCCTTTCTTTCTGCGCACTTTTGAATATTTATGACGTTTGAATGAATCAATATCGCAACCGAATCATTTCCCTTAATCATAACTTGTTGGGTTTTGTTCCGAGAATTCACACTGAAGGTACACTTGGTTAATCCTGTTTTGAAACTAATCTTTCACAAAGGATAAAGACTCCAACCCAAAAGGGGAAAACTAAATAAGCAAGCATTGCACCAAAGTGTTCAATTTAGGAAATATTTTAGGTGCTCGACAACTTTTCTCCATTTTCTTTGCTTCCAATCCTCGACTGCCAGCAGCAACTATGATGCTTATGGATTGAATTTTTTCGTATGAAATTGCTTGGTGCCAGCACTAAGTGCCTTCCTTTACCTAAAACCCTACTTCCAACATCACTAAGCACTAAGCACTAAGAATCAAGGTGCATGCTTTGTAGGTGGAGATAGCTAAAGTACTAATTATGCTTTGCATAAATGGCCTTAGTCCACAAGCAAAAACCCTACTTCCAACATCAACATCTTCACTTGAAAAGTCTACTACATAAGACAAATACATGGCGGCATCTTTCACTTTTATGGACTTCGTGGTTGCTAGTCGGGACTGGACAAGATTGGAATTGAGTCGGAATCAGTCTTTTACAATCTCACCTATTTACATGAGATTTGTAAAACATACTATGTCAAACTATTGTTCAATTTAATAAACCAATTGCATGCATTCATAAGTTTACTAGAAAACGGTCAGAATAGTAGTTTATTATGAACCTCGCAAACCCACACTTTCTTAAATTCAAAAAATTGACGTCGTATGATAACACACGATTAAGATTGAGTCGAAGCCAGTCTTATAGTCTCATCCCTTCTAGATGAGATTTGTAAGACAAAATATGTTGAACTTATTCGATGTATCCAGTCCAATCCCTACATTTAGAAGTTCATCAAACAACGGGCAAAACATTAATGCAGTTTGACAAAGCGAACCAGAACTTTCTTAGATTAAAAAAAGTTGATTATGTAATAAGGTTGTAACAGTTGTAGGGTGAGACAATGAGATTAAGAGATTAAGAGATTCGGCTGACCAATTGTAGACAGACAACTTTCTATAATTGTGCGTGCTACAGTGTAAGGATCAATTAAATTATACGAAATTCACTTTTCTAATCAAATTAAAAAAAAAATACTATTGTATGAAATACGTCTGACTTTCAGTATCAATCCTTACCCTTGGTCTTTGATACATAGCACTAATTATGTACTTAATTCACAATTTTGTACATAACTAGTTCTAATTAAAGTATGATTGATGCGTAAAATGTAATTTAAAAATCTTCGTCGGTACAAGATATAAATAAGACTGGATGCCACTTGGTCGAAAATACTTATTGCAGTTAGGAGACTTGTATAATCATTCTCCTCATAAAACATATTATACCCGCGAAGGGTCAAGTACCTTTTTTGTCCTTTCCGGAAATCAAGGTTAGTGTATGTTTCCGTTCGGCTTATTTTTAGAGATTTTTTAGTGTATTGGAAACAACTTGAAACATTTCATAAAATAAGTGATTGAATACTTAAAATAAAATTTTAAATATTTATATTATGACATTTCGTATATTGAACCGTGTTTCTGATATATCGAAAAATTTCTCTTATTTTTGATAGATCAGTTTATGATTTTTGGTCTATCATTATTTGGGCGGCTCATGCACTCAGTCCACAACCTTTTGAAACACTCCTTTATATGAACTAGTTTTTTTTTTTTTTTTTTTTTTTTTTCATATCTAGCTAACATCTAAACTACTAGATCATGCATGTCATACTTTCTTTTTCACTTCAAATGAGCTTTTAGTTCAAGTTTTAATTTATTCGACCAAAAAAATTCAGTCATTCTTTTGAGTAAATGATTTTCACTTGTTTTCTTTTTGTACTTTTTTTATTATATTTAAATACCTTAATTTTCTTTTATTAACTTTATTTTTGGCCTTTAATAAATTAAAAAAAATCAAAGAATATAACTAACCTTGCAAAAAAATAAAAAATAAATAACAGAAGTGTAAAAAGGAAAAAGAGTATGAAATTTATTTCTGCATTTTTGTTTTAGTTCCTCAATTTTCTTTCAACACTTTTTATTTTACGTTACTTTATTCTCTTTTGATTTAATTAATCAAGGACTACAAAAAAATAGGTAGTGCAAAACTAAAAAAAAGAAAGAGAACAATGTCTGTAAGTCTCAAACTCTCCTCTCTCTCTCTCTCTCTCTCTCTTATGTAGAAACGAATCAAAACTTTTTAGGAAAATTAATGAAAAGAATTTAAAAATTTTAAGTTTTAATCAAAATGATAAAAATATGTTATGAGTGACTTTTTAAAATAAAAAAGTCATTTTTTGTTAAAATAAACAGTATCGAAAATATTTCGTTAAAACTCTCAGAACTTTTTCTCCCCAACCCTCGACCACTTTCTTTGGTTGGGGTCGGTGGCAACCAAAATGTTTAAGCATGCTTTTCTCTTTCCCCAACCTCTTCTTCCTTTTTCTTTTTATTTTGGATTTTACTTTCGAGTCTTTCTCAGTTTGCTCTGAACTTGTTATTGAAAATTACGAATAATTACAAGGGTCTTATCGTACAACCATCAAACTTAAATTACAGATTTTTTCCTACGAAAATATCTGAAATTTTGTCCTCAGGACCGACCGTTGTCGGTTCATCGCTTTCACGTGCACCAAACAAGGAAAAAAAACCCTTAAAAATATAGAAATTTAATGTTGTGGACGAAAATACCCTGACCAAACGTGAGTGGACCAACCGCTTTTTCTGTGAGTGCACTGCAACCCACTAGTTCTTATCCCGTCGCCACCACTAACAAAATGCAAACCACCAAATCCGGCCCTCCATTCGAAAATACCCGGACGGTCCAGATCCTTCCACATCGCACAACCTCATTGGTCAGCGGTCACATCAAATCCTCCCACTCTCATCTCATTGGTCCACGCGGCCCATTATTTTAATAATTTAGTAATTAAATAATAATAATAATAATCGCCCACCCTCCCCACTGCCCGGTGTTTTAAAAGGCTAAGGCGAAGGGCAAAGGAGCAGCAGACACTTGGCGCTTCCACCAGAGCCCTAAGAAGCAGGAGGAACCGCAGCCACCGGACACCACCAATATTTTACCAAAAATAGTAACAAGGTAAATTAGAAAAGAAAAAAAAAAAAAAAAAAAAAAAACCCAATTCTGTCTCTCTCCCTCCTTTTTTTGTTCATCTTAAATTATAATTTTTATTTTTTTAATGCTTTTGGATGATAGGGTTCTTCAAAGTTTCAGTCTTTACTTCTTATCTCTTGCTGTGGATTGCTGATATGTGTTAAGTGTTGTGCTTTTTGATCTGGGGATTTTTTTATTTTTGCAAAAAATTGAATTTTGATAGCTTTTTTTAGGCAGATTTTTCGTATTTTCGTGAAAAAAATCTGAGCTTTGACTGAAATTTGAGGAGCGGTAGCTGAGATTTTGGTCTGTGTTCTTCAAACTCTGTTTTTTTTATGGGTGAAAGTTGACACTGTTGAGTTCCGTGAGCTGAAGGGAAGCTCTTTTAGTAAACAGTCATAGACAGTGCAAGTAAATACCTGAACTTTATTTTTTTTTTTCTGGGTCTTTGTTTTTTGGCTCAGATTTCACAGAAAATGGGAACCAACATGAACTTCAAGGGATTTGGGAACGAACCGCCGATAGCGAGGCAGTCGTCGATCTATACGCTGACGTTTGAGGAGCTGCAGAACACCATTGGAGGCTCAGGGAAGGATTTTGGGTCTATGAACATGGATGAGCTCTTGAAGAGCATATGGACGGCTGAAGAGACTCAGATCATAGCACCGGCTGCCGGCGGCGCTGGTGGCCAAGACGGGCTTGGCCACGGCAGTGGGGGTTCTCTTCAGAGGCAGGGCTCTCTGACCCTGCCCCGGACCCTGAGCCAGAAAACTGTGGATGAGGTGTGGAAGAACCTTTCGAAAGAAGGAACGGGTGCCGGCGGGTCTAATATGCCTCAGAGGCAGCCGACTTTGGGGGAGATGACTTTGGAGGAGTTTTTGTTTAGAGCTGGGGTTGTGAGAGAAGATGCACAAGTGGCTCCAAAGCCTAATGGTGCTGGTTTTTTTGGTGATTTGTCTCGTTTTGGTAATTCTGGTAGTTTGGAATTCGAGTTTCAGCGACCGAATAGCGGTGTTGGTGTGATGGGGAATCGAGTTTCTGAGAACGATAATCATCAGGTTCCGAATCAAGGTTCAAATTTGCCATTGAATGCTAATGGGGTTAGATCAAGTCAGCATCACAGTCAGCACCACCAGCAACAACAACAGATGCCACAGCAGCAGCAGCAAATATTCCCCAAGCAACAACCTGTGACTTACAACACTTCTCAGCTGCCTATGGGACCAAATGCTCAGTTGGGTAGTCCTGGAATGAGGGGTGGGATGATGGGAATCGGTGATCCAGGTTTGAATGGCGCTTTGGTTCCGAGTTCAGGGATGGGAATGGTTGGGTTAGGAGCTGTTCGTGTGGTGACGCCTTCACCTGCGAACCTGTTGTCATCTGATGGGATTGAGAAGAGTAACGGTACTGATACGTCGTCTGTGTCACCGGTGCCTTACGTGTTTAATGGCGGTTTTAGGGGGAGGAAGGGCGGCGGGCCTGTGGAGAAGGTTGTTGAGAGAAGGCAGAGAAGAATGATTAAGAACAGAGAATCAGCTGCCAGGTCCAGAGCTCGCAAGCAGGTGAATGTCTTCTTTGTTTTACTGCTTTGTCAGGCATATATGCACGGTTTCAGCTATGGTAAATTTGAGATATTAATTACGATAATACAGAATTTCAAGCTCTGTGAAATGTAAAAAGTAAATAAAGAAACCATTGAATGGAGGTGTGAAATTTTATCAACTCACTATTTATGTTTGAAAGATGGTATGTTTGTATGAGTTAGTATTTGGAATTAAAGAGATTGTGGATGCGATCTTAAAAGTTCAAGCTTATAGGATCTGTGTTAAGCTGCTAGCTTTGATACGATTAGTAGATCCTGAACTCAAATCGAAAGTCAGCTGATTCTTAACAGTTATACATTTCGCGTCCTTTCGGCGAAGATCAGGTTTTAGTTCAACATCTTAATAGATTTAAGTTATAGAGCAGTTATACATTTTTTGTCCTTTCGGCCAAGTTATAGAGCAAACTTATGGTGGACGCAGTGAAGCTTTTTTTCCGTGATTAGTATTTACAAGTAGTTCTGGAGAAGGTTAGAAAAAAAAAATATTTACAGTGGCATCAAGATTGAACAAATTCATCTTGTTGTCACTTGTCGCCTTATCAATTTTGCTCGACATTGACCTTTCTGCATTCATCGTCTAATGACATTTTGTATCCCAAAACTTCATGGAAGATTCATGCGGCAGAATGGTAAATATGATAGTGATTCGACGTGTCAAAGAGACAAAAGATTTTGAGAAGTTACAGTCATGACAAGTTTTTAAGGATCCTGTTTATTACAAGGTAATGGAAACACTTACTTTAAGTGTAAGTAACGTTAAGTAGTCAGTGTGTATAATGTCGAATCGTTAGAGCATTGAATAAGTTCCACACCTTCGAACGTTAGTTCTGCTTTGAATAGAACTGCATGGGATAAAAAGAGGATGACTATATTATTGCACTTTATTCTATCTCGTAGTTTTCGTCATGGTTCTTATATTGTTTCGTCTTTGTGCTTCTGCCAGGCTTACACAACGGAATTGGAAGCAGAAGTTGCAGAACTGAAGGAGGAGAACCAAGAGTTGCAGAAAAAACAGGCTGAAATGGCGGAAATGCAAAAGAATCAGGTACTTCGATTGTTCTATTTGGGAATTCTTTTTTATTTGCAACTCCATTGCAGTGACTGAACTGCTCAATTGTTTCTATGCAGTTCAAACTAGCCAGTCTGAGCATTTTTCCCATAAGTTTTGTTATCAAAGTCCCTCGAACGATATTATCTTTTAATAAATCACCAAAATTTAGAATTTTCTGCAATCTGGTGTTACCTGTTGCCATAATATTATTACTTGAAAAAGGCTCAAAACTGCATTAAAATTGCTGTTTAACAATTTATGACTCTGGATACATCGACGTTTTATAATTTTTGATGAGTTGTTTGGAATTTGATCACTTAGCAGGACATGGAGATTATAAACCTTCAACGAGGAAAGAAGCGATGCCTGAGAAGAACAATGACAGGTCCGTTGTGAAGTGTCGGGGCTGCAAGAGGAATGTGATTAGATGGGGGTTGCTGTACATATTCAAAGGAGCATATGTCTTGTGGTGTAGATTTTGAGAGTTTTAGTGTGCGCTGTAGATGTGAACTTTACATATCTATTTACTTGATATTCTTCTCCTTTGAGTATTGTTATGAAGAGGGAGAGAAGAGAGAGAGTAGGTAGAAAGAGGGGAAGGAAGAAAAAGGAAGGAAGAAAAATATGGTCAGGATTTCACATGTTCAGTTTACTAGGTTAGTCAAACAGATTCTGACTGCATATTTGTGAGTGTTGTGCATCAAACCATTTGTGTTATCTTTGGTTTTTGTTACTTTTTTTTTCAAAGATTTTTAGCTTTGTTTTCTGGAATCGATTTTAATTTCATTTTGTTTTCAATAACTCAAAGGTCATCACTTTACTCTCTGAAACTAAAATTTCGCTTCACTTTGCCTCTTAGAACTCGATTTTGAACTCATTTTGTCCTCTAAAACTAGAAAGTTGTTTTTATAAAACTAAAATTCGCTTCACATTGCCTTAGATTTGCTCATTTCATATGTGGATTCGATTTGGATGCACTAGGATAAGCAATTTCTTCCTTTATTTTTTTTGCATCTCTTCAATTTCTTATAGACTTAATATTCTTTTATTGCTAAATTTTAACGCATAATAGATTTATAATCAAATTTTTTGTCTGTATGGCATAGCCTTATTGAATGTTAGGTCTCACGTGTTTTATGAGACGACTTATAAGTTTCACAAGAGAAGAGAGTCTACGAGTCAAAACTTTACTGATGACTATTGAGTTACAGAAAGCAAAGCATGATCAAAATGAAGTTCCAAATGACAGCTAAAAATAAGCCTTTTTTTTCATTGGTCCCGTCACAAACTCCAGACTCAAACGGTCAAAAGTGATCTAATTTGACGATCCCAGGAATATATGGTCGTCTCATGTTCACACCAACCTTGCGTTCTTCGTTGTGAAGGAATACTACTTAACAGTGGAAAATGAACTAAGAATAATGTTTCGAATGAGCAACAAGCAACAAGACTTAATTGTCAGCGAATTGGTTTTTCCAACTCCCGGCTGATCGGCTGCTCCAGCGGTCCAGTAGCGCTGTTATATTCAGATTCCGAAACTACAGGTCTAGTAAGGATAGCCTGAAGTGCATTCCATGTCCTTCCAGGATATCATCTTCCTGCGATCCCTTCCTCTAAATGATCTGGCAACAATCTGACCACTGACGGGCTTGCACAAACCAACATCAACAACAGAAGTGCTGTGTCTCTTTTCACAAGACGGGGATGCTTCGTCCATGTAATAGTCGAATAACATTGCCAGACAACGAACCTGATGAGCTATGATATTATTTTCTTCACTTTGAGGTAACATCTTCACCATAAGCAGATTGACCTAGAAGAATGAAAAGGAAACTGTGAATTCCAGTTCCGGAGAGGAACAAAAAGTGTAGTCATAATCAATACACTGCAAAAAAGGTAAGGTGATCATACTTCTGTGCTGTGGTGCAGATAAAATAAATGCAGTCTAGATCGTTTGCTTGTCAAAGTGCAATAAAACACGCCCTCGACTGATTTATTCATGATAGTTATTCCTATGTTATCAACTGCTTACCTCTGCTTCCAATGCACGAAGTTCATTGTAGCACTCAGACTCATCACTCTCTGTATGGTTTTCTCCGGATATAGTGCACAGACTCAATGCGAAAAAGGGTGGCCTCAAAGGAAACTCCATGCTGATCTTAATCTGCCGCAATAGAAGTGATAAAAATGTCAAAAGGTAATGTTTGATGCAAAAGCACGAAAAAATATACCACATGAATCATTAGCTACCTTGGCTTCTAGCGTCATATTCCTCTTATCCTTGTCTATTTTCCGGGTCAAAACAACACAAAATTCTCTGACCCCAACATCCACCCATGAATTTTCAAAGCTTTCAACAGATGCTAAATTTTCTTCCTCTAGCACAAGTGTAGGTTCGTCAAGATAACTCTGTGTATCCAGAAAAAGATCTAATCTGCATCATGTTTCTTATAACTTAGGGATTTGGTCTTGCTGATTGGAGGTCTTTTTGAAAGTAAAGACAGCCGTCCAGAGTGGTCAAGATTAGCTCCTTTATGGTGAGAAAGTTTATTCTCTTTGACAATGGATGCAGCTGGAACCAATGATGGAAGTTCTCCATCTTCTCTGATACTCTCCTGCTCTTCCTTTGAAGGACCAGACCGTCCAACCAAATCAACATCCATAGGTTCTTGACCCTGCTCCTTATCTATGACAGACAAAGATGATGCCACATTAGGTGAAGGGCCTACAGATGAAAAACCATGCAATTTGCACAAAGGGGTATGCACAGCCCATGGAACACTTTCACAAGACAAAGACGGCCATTTAAGCTTCGTAAGTGGTTCAATCTGTTCCATGTAATCCAATGAAAGAATGCCAACTTCTCAACATAGGGCATACCCAACCACTCACAAACAAAACACAAAGGGACTTGCAAAATAAAGAGAATCTGTCTCGCATAGAAGTTATAGACAGACAGAATGGAATTAAGATCCAAAGAAAGGGGCAAGCACTAAAAGAAACAAGCATAATACAAATTAGCTACTTTATATCAGAAAAATGCCAATAGCAGTCGCAACCAAGTAAAACAAAACACTAGAGCTAACATTAGGATTTGATCACATTGTAGTATCCTTGTCCTATAGATTTTCTAGAATGTTCTTGATGATTCAAGACTCTAAACTATAATGAGCATTGACTCACACAAGAGCCATCTGAGCTTTTATCCGAGAACGAATTCTTCGCACAATTGTCTGTATTCGATTCTGCTGGCGGTAAAGTGACAGACCAGATATAACAGCGTCATTTTTAGTGGTATCGCCACTTGAAGTTTCAGGGGCAGCAAGCAAAGGTGACACCTCAGGCAAGAAATCAATTCCTGCCAAATGTTGGGCCCAATTATATGGACGGGAAGTTCTCTTTTCATCAAATGCAGGAACATCACCAACAACAAGCTTGGCTGACTGTATTAGTCAATACAAAATAAGTATGAGAATGATGAACCCTTAATAGAATAGACATCAGATAGAAGAGCACAAAGATAACCAAATGCCAACAAATAGAGGAGGCATTACTACCTGATGCGGAAGCTCAAGGCCAGTGTCATCTGGGAATAGGTTGCATAAGATGTCAATTTCCGCTGCATCATGGGATCCTTCAATTCCAACGCATACAACATTCAACTTCAACAAAAACTCAAACTTGAGTGTGATAAGTTCTGCAGACTTGGGATCAGAAACCTCATCATCATAGATATGAAGGATGATTTTCAGCGGATGAACTTGATACAATCCTGACTGCTCAAGGTTTTGCTTGACTGGAACCCTCTTTGGCCGTTTTCTCCTTCGCTGCCCATCATTATCCTCATCTGGTGCATCATCCTCCCTACTAGTCTCTACATTGGTAGAAACGCCTGTTCCATTACACAACATTAGTACTTATTTATCCAGACTAAGCTGACCGAAACCAAATCCAACGAAAAAAGAACTCGAAGATTAAGTTTTCAATTGGGGAACTTCAAACCTACATGAAACATCAAAATTTATATTCTACATGGTAAGAGTCGAGCATTACTTACCAGTGTCCTTATTTGCTTGCTGGTGGGCAAAAGCTTGAGCATCCTTCACACTCCCCACAATATCCAACTCAATTTGTTCGTCAAACGCCTCCTTCTGTGCCATGAACTGCAAGTAAACTACATAAAGAGGTGGCGGAAGCAACTCCGCTGAGTGGTGCTGCTTGAGCTTCTTGGTATGCTGAATCCCCAACTGGTTCTGCACCGGCAAAGACACCTTCTTTAGCGACTTCAAGTGCGAAGGAAGGCTGGACAAGAACTTCTTCCGATTTGCAATCATCTCCAACAGATCCTTCTTATGAATCTCCAGCTCTTCATGATGCTTGCAGAGCTCCTTGCGCTGGTGGAGCTCAAAATTGAGCCTCTTGAGCATAATGTCGTGGCCCGCATCATTCGACAGCGTCGGCTCCTTGATATTGGCCGGTGCGTCGCGAAAGAATTCTTCTTCCGGCACCAGCTCGATCTCCGGGTACTTGGAGTTGAAGTCCTTGCAAGCTTTAATGGCTTTCACGTAGTGGCTCTTCTCGTACATCAGATTGTGGAGCTGCAGCGTTGTCAAGTCCACCGGCACCTTCGCGCTCTCCGTCTCGGCCTTCATTCGGTCCTCCTCGAGCAAGATCGAGCGATTCGCCTGCAAATTCCAAATTCAATCAAACAAAATCCCCAACTTTCAACCACAAAAAAAACCGTAAAGCCCTAATCTTTTGATAAATGTGAAACCCTAGAAATATTTCCGAACCTGGCGGAGGGTGACGAAGTTGAGGAACATCTGAGTGACGAGCTCGCGGAGCTCCGATTTAGGTTTGGCTTCTTTTTTAATGGCGAGCATCTTCGCCACTATGTCCTCCACCGAGGATTTGCTCTCCTGAAGCATTTCGTAGGGCGACCTCTCCGGCTTCTTAGGCTGCGGCGGCGTGGCGTCTTCCGTCCACCAGCATCCCCTCCTCTATCTCGTCGTCTTCCATTGCTTTCCCTTTATTTGATTTTCCTGTGCGACTCGCTCTGGTTTATTGAAAGGGGAAAAGAAAGACCGAGGACAAAACAAGAATTGCACTTTAATAAATTTATGAGTTTTTTGCAACTGTGCCCCTTTCATTTAGTGAATATTTTTCTATGGTCCTAAATTTGATATTCGTCCCAAGTTGGTCCATGCCATGACACAGTAGTTTAGAGAATTAGCGTTGCCTGCAATTTCATTCAAAATGTTTTTTGGATTTGAAAGATGAGAGAAATAAGGGGAAATCATTTATTTTGTTTGTGATGGAAGAAGAGACACGAGTCTAAGTTGTTAAGGTATTTTGCACGTGAATGTGTGACTTATACCATCACTTAAGTAGTGATATGTACGTAAAAGAAGACATATAAGTCTAAGTTATTTCGATTTGAATTTAATGCTAATTATAAAAACATCTCTAGTTTATGAGAAATTTTTTAATGTGCTCGGAATATGAGATGGTATATCGTATGTTGTAAAGTTTTTTTTTTTTTTAATCAAATCTCTTCAATTATATAATAACATATGATATTCAACACCGTGTTCTGGACACTAAAAAATCTCTCCCATGTTAGGGCGATGGATGCTATTTGGTTTTGTCATATTCTTGACTTATAGAACTAAACATGAAATAAACACACTTTGGAAAATTTTTATAAGGTCTTTTAC